CCTTGCTGATGTTAATCCGCTGGAGGTCAGACTACTTGGCGTTAAACGGTCGGGTCTGTGGACATACACCGCTCATCGCACAAGTGTCGCGGAGTCACGGAGCGGAGGATCGAACCCTCTACCACACTGATCGCGGCGGCATACAACCGTAAAACGAACTGTCCCCATGCCGTACAACAACACCGATCTGAGAAAGCCAAAATACAAGCACAGTTTTGAAGAAAGAAATACTTCTTTTTCAGCCCAATATATGAAAGGTTTACAAAGACACTCAAGGCAACGGACTTCCTTCTGTTTAAGTCTGCTAGATGATGCCGTCGTTGGAGATGAAGGAGTCGTGACACTTAGATTGGTCAGCTACCAATGGATTTTCATCTTTCTGTTCCACCTGTAGGTCAGCTGTATTGACTGGGTTCGTCATGACTTATGCCTTCCCAGCGTCAAGGTAAAGGCCGGTATTTGTAGCTGTACCGCTTATAGAAATCGTCCGGTTGACAAAACCCGCTACCCGTACTGCTCATTAGGACAATAACATCTGCATATTCTAGGTCACCAAGATCTAGACGGCTATACTGAACTGTGCATTCCATTTAGAATTAGGCCCTCGTCTTTGCCAGGTCAACACTGTTTCGGATAAGAACGGCGAGAACAATACGTTAACTGCAATGGCGAAAGCACATTTACCTGACGAACGCCACAGATAATGGGGAACTACTTAGATAGCTCTTCTTCAACTTTGACAGCAGACATGGTTCCTGTACACATCTGATTCAAAACAGAACGTGCTCAGGTATGTCACGGAATTTTAATACTTTCCACATCGCTGGGTGAACTAACAATTCAAATGCAGCCTTAAATCTTTATCCAGCAGTGGATAGAAAATGGCTGCTGATGATGACTGGATCATGGAACATTAGAAGTTACGAGCGACACATTAATCTGGACAAAATATACTAGACGCAGCTGTTTGCTGGGCTAAATTGCTTTAACAGCATGACCTGCTTAAGCAACCTCCCATACGTCTAATAACAATGGGTCTGTTCTATTCGCCGTGAAATCTCCTCTTCGGAGGTATGAGCTCATCGTAATACATACTATTAATGACTGAATGGTCTGGAATAATCGAACATAGATAACCTCAGTAAATGTGGAGATTCAGAAAAGAGATGGGATAAGACGTCTACTCCCTCATGAGCTTCTCGTATGAAAAACGAAAAAACGGTAGACGTCAACTAGAAAGCCAGCATGCATGATTGAAAAACAAAGAATGAGCAGATCTGCGTTCGGAGAGAAATATTTTCTTCTACAATGCAATAGCTGATGGCTTATAGCAGTGTTGCAAGGCTGCGAATACACCTACGTCATTAACCAGAGACATTTTATGTAAATGGCTCAAGATGATGATCTCAACAAACGCTGCTATAGAAATGAATGTTGATAGAAAGGTTTCACTATATTAACATTTTCTGTTGGTAGTTCTTCGTTTTCTTTGCAAGATCGTTTAAAATCACTTGGAATATATGCGATTAAGCGTTACAGTTTACAGCTAAGCTTCAGAAACTTAACGACGCACTCCTATAATTGATTGAATATGATCATGCTACTAGATCGTTTGCCTAATAGCTGAGCATAATTTGAATCGTCAGGCCGTTATTTGACAGAGAAAAAGTATTTTTTCTAATGACGTCAGAGCATGAGGCAATCTGGCATACGTACCTGACAAGGAGCGGCATCATCTCGGAAGCGGGTGTCACACGACCATGGCTTGAACTGGGAAATCTGCGACACAGGCACCGGATGTCGTATCCATTCTAACATTTTTTGCATGTCAACGACCCATACATCTTCCTTGTGAAGTATCTGCAAAAGCGATCAAGGGAAGAATGACAAATGCGTAAAGGAGCGCGAGCAATATCATTAATAAATAGTAGTTGCTTTTGAAATGTAGCAATTTTTCATACCCTGTCCCAAAGAAAACAGCGATTCTGGCAAACTATTTCTCTGAATGGAAGATGACAGCCTCGCCTTGACACATCCTGCTACACTGTAAAATACCACCAGTGTCGTCATTACGATGGCGACAAATTACGTGTCAAAATGCTTATATTCTGTCATAATTATAACCCAATCTACTTTGAAAAATCGCATGAAAAAAAGCAAAATATCTGAATCCTCACTTCCGTCAAAAAAGATTCCAAGGCCTTAACAGATGCTTGTTGAGGAAGCAGCAGGAAGAAGTCAACGTTCAATGTTACAATGAACGGAGCACGGTTCGATTCGTAGTGACGATTGAAGTTGTTGATCAAGATACGATAGACGTCTTCAACAGTATTATCTGCCCTCATAAGTCCGCGGACCATAGCGGCGCGTCTGTGATCCTTAGCGCATTTGAGGAAACAGCCGTACAGTTGATTGATAGGCACAGCCCATATCCCGGGAAATGATGCGTTTGGGCACCGCGGCACTTCACATTTCCATGCGATTTTGTAGTCCAGTGTCTGAGGCCAGTAAACGGGTCCCGTCGGTCCGGGATTGGCCGACATGCTGTTGTCGTACATGAAACCGTCTTGTTGCATCATGATGAACTGCTCGTTGCCTCCAATGTCTAGCTGTGGGGCTCTGACCCCCTTTATATCCGCCACGTGGATTCCACTCAATTGGCTAAGCAGACGCTTCATGCCGGCCATTTCATCTGACCATCGCGTGACGCTGGCTGACGACAGAGTTTCGTGTCTAAATATGAAGATCGACGTTATCTTTGTAGACTTATTCATTCATACGTAATGGAGTTGACTGCCAGTTCGTTTCCTTTCCAATACAGCCACTGGCACTGGTCGTAGCGGTTGTATTCCTGGGGTACGAAGAACGTGGCCGTGATTGGGCAGCCGTTTCTGTTCTTGACGGAGCCGCCGAAAATATCTTTGTATATATTGAACATTCTGTCATTCACCGGATCGTCAATGGTGAAAACAACTATCTGTGGCGTGTCCTTCGGCCGCAGATTACCCGGAATATCGAATCCCGTGCGACTGCAAAAGCAATCCGGTAATTTACAAGACGATACTGAGTCTGGAGTTGGACATAATTCTGCTATTGATGAAGCCACTGAAGAACGCACGAAACCTAAAAAGAGTTCAAATTATTGTTTGTCATCATGCCTCGTACCCCAAAAAATAAAAACTAGTCCTGAAAACCCAGTCGAATTTTCATTCGAAGTAAGAGTGGGTTTTCAAAGTTACAACTTCTTCGACGGTAGACTAATAATTTGACGATTATTCCACTTTTTATCATTTCTCTCGATATCCGTGCGGGGAATTTGCCGACGTTGAGTAAAATTAGGCTACTGGGTCAAATTCATATACTTGGAAATTCCTACCAACGGAGGGTCAATGGATTGAAATTAAAGGTCTTTTAGAAGAGTTCTTATTTTGGATCATTTACCGTAGTAGTCCGAGAATTCTGTTATCCATTCTTTGCTAATATGACATTACGACGGCTAACACCTCTTCTAAACTCCGCCGTTGCAGGTCACAAGCCCGGATGAGAAAGGAGGATGGTTGGAGACCTTCGCCAACTCTCTGAAAAACTTAACCACCCACCCCTCAAGCCATTGCCGATATCGAAAATTATACCGGCTAAGTCGTTGCCCTGGGTACCAAGGACCGCGCAGGCTGCGAAAAGTCGCCAAACACAACCTGCTCATCGCCTTACGGCACCCGGGGGCGTAATGCCATTACAGCACGTAGAAAAGGCTACACAGGAACGGCACCGCCAGTAGGAGCTAACAGTTGGAAATTGGAATATAACTTCACTCAGAGGGAAAGCGCAGAAGCTAGTTGATGAAATCGCGAGGTATCAACTCGACATAGTTGGACTTTCATCAACGAAACGCCAAGACTCTGTAATCCTGAACCTCTACGGGTCGAAGCTATTTTACTCAGGTGTCGATATCACGACGCGCGCTCTGGGATGTGTAGGTATATTGGTAAAACCCAACCTCACAGATAGAATCATTGATTGGAAGCCTGTCAGTGGAAGGTGGCAGTAGAGATAAGCTACAAAAGAATAAAGAGTTGACCTTGGTACAGTGCTATATGCCCAAGTTAGAGTGACAATATGATTCTTTCCTTGAGCAAGAGCAGTGTGCTCTATACGAAGTTTCGAATAAGGAGTCCCTCATACTCATGGGCGATTTTAATGCGCACGTCGGAGTAGACGGTGAAAAGTGAAACGGCGTGATTGGGAAAAACGGCCCTAGCGACCTCAATAATAACGGCATGAAGTTGTTGCGGTTTCGCGCAAATAACGGATTGTCCATTATCAACACCTTCTTCGAGCATCGAAGCGTGCATCAGTATACCTAGTAGAGTGAAGCATGTGCACAGAAGTCGATGATCGATTTGATAATCGTATCATCTGACTTAAGACGCTCAGTAATAGATGCTCACATTAAGAGAGGTGCAGGTGCAGAGCTATCAACCGACCACCGCCTTGTTGTTGGCACGCTGCGCTATAAGAAATGGAGTGACATGCAAATCTGGCGGCAAAAGCAATCAAAGAATCAAATGAGAAACAATATCTTCGGTGGACACGAGAGCAAAATTTGCAACCTACAACGCACCATGGTCTGAAAAGATCCCGGTGATAACCACTGATGTGGAAATCGAGTGGGAGCTCTTTAACAGCTGCATACTCGAGGCTGTCACGGAATGCAGCAGAATCAAACGGGTTGATCCGCCGCCTGGAGGTCAGAAAAAAGTTTCTGATGCACACCAGAGGTACAATTGACTGTTAAGGACAAGAAGGCTGTATTGAAGAAATGGCTTGGAAGGAAAGAGACCAACTCGCATACGGTATTAGAAGCGCAAAAGGCAGAAAGGAAATCTGTGGCAAAAACCAAAACTGATTCTTGGGAGAAGTTCGGTGAGGTGTTGAAGTCCAATTTCCAGACGGCAAACAAGGTGTTCTGGCAGACCATTCGCCGATTGCAAGGTGCAGAGAAAGACAGTCTAAGGGTCTTGAAAGACCGGTCTGGAAACACTCTTCCCGAGCATAAGGACATTCTTCGGCAATGGAGAGAGTACTTTGAGGAACTCCTTAACCCAGAGCAACCGCAGGAAGACTCGCCTGCATAGCAGCAGAAAAGAATATTATTATTTCTGTATATGAAATTAAACAAGCCGTGAAAAGACTGGAAAGTGGAAAGACTTCAGAAATTGATGAAATCCGCCGTGAAATGCTCAAGGCATTAGGCGAACATGGAATGTGCTGGCTTACACGCGTCTATGAAACAGGAATGGCTGCGGAAAAGACAGGTCTGGAAAACGGGCGTTGTGGTATTCCTGTTAAAGAAGGAGACCATAGTGAGTGTTCCAATATTCAGAGAATTACTTTATTAAACGCCCCGAGTAAAGTCCAAGCAAAGATGCTAGAAAAGAGATGCCGTGGAATACCTGACTCCCAGATACAAGAAGAGCAGTGTGGATTCCGGCCTGGTCGAAGCACCTTTGACCATTCATTTGCCCTGCACCAGACTGTTGAGAAATTGTGGGAATCCGCCCATAAGGGTACATGTGCTTTGTTGACCTAGAAAAGGCCGATTACTGGAGCTGGCACAAATGACTGTGGTCATGCCTTCGAGCATACGGGAGAGATCGCTAGCTGCTAAAGGCCATCCAGCGACAGTATTCTGATAGCAGGCGTTGCGTCAGAGTAAATGGCGTTAAGTCGAAACCAGTCAACGTTCGCACTGGTCTCCGCCAAGGCTGCGTTCTGTCCCCTCTCCTGTTTTTGTTGTACATGTGTAGAATAGTCAGGAGAAAAAGACGATGAGCGTATCGGGGTAGGAAATGCCGTGCGAAAAGTCGCTGTTAGCGGACGACTTGTTTAATTGGCATCTTATGAAACAGATCTACAGTGCCCTCTGGAAAGATTCTCAGTCAGGAGCGACGTGGCCGACATGCCTGTGAGCGCATCTAGAACGAAAAGCCTAATGCTTTATCGTTCTCCTACCCGTTGCTCTCTTCAGATAAAAGGCGAAGCAGTGGAGCAGGTGAAGAAGTTCAAGTACCTCGGCATCGACTTTACTGGTGATGGAAAATGGAAAGTAAACATCGACTGTTTGACTGCTGTAGCCAGTGGCGTTCTGCGTGAATTATGCCTAACCCATTGTGACTAAAGCAGAGCTGAATGTGAAGAGTAGATTCTCGGTGTTCAAATCGATCTTCATCCCTATGCATACCTACAGTCAAAAACCATAAGTTAAAAGCTTCGATCCCGGGTATAGGCTGCGGAGAAAAAAATGCTGAAAGAGCATCGACTTCCGTTCATGACGCACCCATAACGGGAACAAGTCGGTAACGGATTTTGTTTCAGCTGGGAGGGAAATTATTTGGTAGTCATACTCAGCAGTAAACTTTCAACTTTAAAATGATGAATACAACGAAAATAGCAATTTTTATCCTCCTACTTGCAGGTTTTCTGAATACGCATTCTCCGTTTTCCAGCTGGTATTTTTCTGCGCAGGTGCAGACTCCATCAACACACGACGAGGAACCGGTGCAGATAGTATTGGCGTCGCACGGCTGGCCAGGTCTGACTGAAAAATAACTTTTACATATGCATTTGCTACGAAAATGGTACTCTTTATAGAAGCATGCATGCACTCTGTTTTATACAATACGGTTCCTCATAAACAACATACTCCAGAATACGTGAAATAACGAATGGTTTCTCCAAGACCAGATTTAACGGCGTATTGCACTGCTGTCTTACTCCTAATTGCCTAGAAGGGAGGGGGCCATTTATGTAGGCCACGGCTGCATGCCATTAGAGCAACTGCTGTGCAAGATGCATCTCGCGACATTTTGTCTGCTAGAGAGAGTTTGCGCTCATTCACCTGCAGGTGCTCTAATACCATGCAACAATAGCGTACTTAAATGGCCCCCTAAAAGACTAAGAGCATGGGGAAAGTGCAATATGCGGTGAAATGGTATAAATGGTGCAATACGCCGTGGTTTCAGAGAAGTCATTCGTTATATGCAATACAGTCGCAGCACATATTCAAGTGGTCATGAAAAAAGTTTCAATAGCCACACTGAAGTTTAAGTCATATGCTAGCCAAAATAAAGAAATAGTTTTGACCGTTAAACTGAACGATTCATATAGCTCGACACTGTTTAGCTATATAAATTATG